CCTATTTTACCTGATATTTATCCAGATCTATCTTCTGATCTCGATTCTTTCTTTCCTCTCATCCCAGAACTATGTATATTGCTCTAGGGAATGTTGTATACACTTCTCCTAAAAATTACGCTATAATTTTACAGTCTGCTCTTGAATTAATCAAAAGTAATATTCTTGATGGTGTAATCTGGGCAACCACAAGGTTTAATGAATCAGAATTGCCTTCTACATTTGCGCTTTCTAATGGTGATACTATATCAACTTCAACCTTTTTAAATAATTTATACCCGCATATTCATATCACGAAATATTCTCCTCAGTTTGCAATACTTTCTCATAAGAATACCAAAGTGTTTTTAAGTCATGGAGTGTAGGTAGTAGTCATGAATCTATATATACTGCTACTCCAATGTTATTACTTCCAATAGCGTTTGATCAACCTGGAAATGCTGAAAAGTTAGAGCTTACAGGTATGGCTTTACAACTTTCAAAACTTGATTTAAAAGTTGACAAAAGTTATAAGATTAATGAACGAAAAAAGCTTTAAAATGAATGCAGAGAGAATGCAAGTTTTGGCAAAATTTAATAGTAAAAGAAAATAGAGGTGTTGATTTAATTGAGGTAGTAATGAATTGGCAATGCTTGAAGGTGTTAGAAATGAGAATGGTGAACTGGAGGTGTACAATAAAGTCTTGATGAGACATTGGATCACTCCCGATTCAAGAATGGGTTTTATTAGAGGAAATTATTTAGACGTTTTTGGTGCTGCTATGATTATTGTTCTAGTGATGACTACTAGTCTTATATATTGTTTTTATAAGGTTATTATGTTCGCTTTTAAGAAATGGACTCTTAGAAATAGGCATTCACAAGAAGGTTCTTCAAAACCTAAAAATGAATGAATGAACAAACATTAATTTGCGACTTAGATCATTATTTAGAAGTCTTGTATAGTTATGAATTATTACATGTGTTCAAATACATTTCTATGGCACGTGTTAAGAAATATTTAACGTTAAAAAAAAATTAATATTATTTGTTATTATGTAATAAATGAATCTATTACCTTAGCATTAACAACCTAAAAAATTTCGCTATCAGGGTGTAGTATAAAATCAAAGCAGCAATGAACTCAACCCTAATAGCAAAATTTTTTAAATGTAACACTTGGTGAATCCTCAAACGCGTTTATGATGTAAGAAAATCTCAGAACTTAGCTGATGATGAAAATAACTAATCAGTTCACTTTATTTTAAAGGTCTTTAAAAACTTAAAAATTTTGTTTAAAAGTTTTTTTTTACTATCATAATCGTAACACTAGGTACAAGTCGATAATTATACAGTAACTTATATTGCAAAAAATATGATCATAAATAAAATCGCTAATTACTATTTTGATATATAAAAATTATTATAGTAATGATGATTATAGAATAAAGATTAAAATATAATAATTAATATTAGCAATATTACATAAGTTTTTACTCTTTTTTTCCATCAACATAAATAGCAACATCATCATTCGTGTCATTTATTTCCTTTGTTTCTATTATTTCATTCGTTTCAATTATTTCATTCATTTTTTTTATCTCATCTGTTTGTTTTATTTCTGTTGTTCTTTTTACTCCACGTATCTTATATCCAACAGCCATGATCCAAGGTGGAAATAATTCTCCTTTATTTTGCCCAGTCGTAAAATCACCCCATAATTCTTTATTCGATTTATCATGAGATATACGTCCAAATGACGCTTTTTCTAATAACCATGCGAAAGTATTAATAACAATATAGGAGACGATACCAGCAATGAGACCGTAAGCGACATTATATGTTAGTGGCATGATCGCAATGGTTCTATAAATAATAAACGAGCGATTTAAAGCTTTGAACGTTACATGAAAAGAAAAATGAATAGGCATAAGTTGATGCTTACAAGAAACTTGGTACAGAATCACCAATATATTCCCAGTTAATATCTTTAATACTCTTTGTCATCATTGAACCAATAACCACTAAAGCAGGGCCAGAAGCCCACGGAGGTATGCTAGCAAAAATAGGCGCAAAGAACAACGAGATAAAAAAGAAGAATGATACAGTAAGAGATGTAATTCCAGTTCGTCCACCTTCAGTAATTCCTGAAGCAGACTCAATAAATGTAGTAACAGGAGATGTGCCAAAAATAGC